ACCAGCTGCAGATCTTTAGAAAATAATAAAGGTACATCAAAGTGACAGTCTTGATCTCTACAATATATTTTGACAGGAGCTAGAAGTCATATTAGTGGGAGGTTTAAAATATTTCAACAACACAGAATTTCCTATGGAAAAAAAACCTGTAACAAATCTGGAGTATGATTTGATTGTACTGTAGGGTATTACTTCTAATTTTATTATTATATACTTTCTTCTTCATATGTGTTTAAAGTCTGTTATTGCTAGGTTGCAGGTTATTTCAATTAAAGTAAAATGATAAGATTGCTTTGCCCTAATACACTCAAGCTTTTTTCCTTCTTTTATATAAAGTTTTTTTGGGGTATATAGGAATCACCCTGTCTGACTGTATGTCTATGTGCCTTGTAAGCCCAACTCCTTCTAAATGGCATGACAGATATTGATGAAACTTTACACAGTTGTAGAGCACTTCCTGAGGATATGCCTAAAGGAATAAAGACTGCCTTAGAGGGAGCCTGCTCAAGTCATGCCTCAGTGATTCCCTATATAATCAACAATATTTTTCCCACAAAAAAGGGGGGGGGGGGCTAAATCCACCTCTGGAAAGTAAGTATAATCTCTAACTGAGAAACTAAAACTCTTGCTAAATCTCAAGGTACAATGTTTGTGTGATTGATTGAATTCTGCTGATATGTCCAGTAGCTAAAATAAGTCAAATAGGCAGTCCAATAGCTAAAATAAGTCAAATATGCAAGCTCACAAGGCAATATTCAGCAAAAATACATCTTTCTACATGGTACACCTGGTGGGATTGGATTCGACACAGTATTATATTATTATTTGTGTATAAGAATAAGAAGAATAAGAATAAGAATATTTATTGAATCCAATTAAAGGGCCCGTTTCCGAGCATATACATATATATATAGTATTAATTATACAGTAATTTTTTAGATATATTACATTAAAAATAAATGCTTAAATAACTATACTCCATACCAGATGGGGTTTGAAAATAAATAAAATAAAATAGAATATTAACCCTATGTATATGAATAAGTATATCACGGAAAATGTCTTAAATAAAACTTCTAATGACCATAGAATTAGATGAAAACAATTTAATCTTAACTCTTAGTTTGTTTAGCACTCAGCAACATATACTAACATACCACTTTCAAGTTCGTTGATTATTATTTTCATCAAAAACTTTGGTTTAAGTGAGCATCATTCATGCATTTAGGGGCATCGTCACTTCCTTCCCATGTTGAGCGAGAGGTTGAAAAAAATATGTGCTATATTGCACAAATTGTTCAGCAAATTAAAATCTTATAATTGATGATCAGCACTGCTGCATTAGAGAATTGTGATTAGGTACATAAGCAATAAACATTATTTCTAGTTTATACTGCATAATGACGATCACAAAAACGCTTAATGAACTTTGGTAGTGCAAGTATACAGGCGGTCCCCTCTATCTGGTAAATGACGTCATACAGGCGCGCATAATTGAGAACTTTTCCAGTGAAAGACATAACTGGAAAGTGGTCTATTGTAAAGTCTTTGGTTTGAGCCAATCAAGAATTGAACCAAACCTCAAAGCCAGTATTTTATGAGATGACTGGCCTCTCCAGTTAGGGGTTAATAAGGCTGTAACGATGTATGGTTATGAAAATAAGTTAATGAAAAATTTTATCTGGAAGGTATTGAAGTGTGGATATCATTTATTAGATTTAAATGATAATTGAAGCAATAATAATACAATTAGTATGGGATTTAAGAATTATATGTTTTTAATAAAAATAAGAACTTACATCTATCAAAATACAGCTATTATTAAAATATTAAGTATGTTTAAAGTCATGACTTGACTGATTTACAGTAGATCTTCCCTTAAATTGTCTGAAATTCCACAACAAAAATCTAGATTTTTTTGTACAAATCTTGGCTGGGTTGCACAAATCATAAAAATTTTAATTTTTAAAAGGTTTGATTAAATTTGTTGTATTTTATTTATTTATTAAGCACTAATAATTTAAACAAGGTTAAGTTTTTGTTTGTTTAACCCAGTCCTTATTTTTAACCTCCTTAAAATGTCGTCACATGTAATCAATAGGGTACTTGTGCCAAATAGGGCATGTAGATAGGCAGTAAAACAAAGCATAAAGATTTGATTTAGGGATGAATTAGCAAAATTAAAAAAAAGAAATCCATAATTTTTTTGGGTTCCACTTTAATTAAGATTTTGTTTTAGACATTTTAAATATCATTTGAATACCTGGAACAGTATGTAATAATAAATGGGTCATTACAGTATATTTAAAAAATGTATTTGATATGTAAAGTAGTTTTGCCGACAGTATGGAAACCTTGATAAAATTAAGCTAGCATAGTTCAAATATGTTTATGTGTTTGGAATGTGATTCATAATTCTGGAAAGGGAATACACCAGGATTTTACTGTGTGAGGTAATGCATTATTAAAGAAAATTGTTGTTCATAAATTCCTTCAATTTGTAGACTTTTGATGTGTGGAAAAATAATCAGATTATTTTCTTAAAAGGTTATCTCAGTGAAAACTATTTAAATTGAGCTCTGTTTAAATTAGGAAATCTGTCCTAAGTGACCACTTGTACCACAGCATACAAATATATTTTTCAGTGTTTCGCAGTATATGTATAGTGGGAAAATACTGTCTTAAAGCTTCAATCATAATTTGTATGGGCCAATGACGTATGCTTTGTTAGGTCAGGTGTCTGCACGGCGAAATGCATATTTGAATTGAGTGTATTATTTATTTGTCCAAAATTATAGTGTAGTTAAGACTGAATATTCTTTATTAAGTTAACCTGTGTAAATTTATCACTTGTCTTGTTCAATCAACATTTTGAGTCGTCACACTTGACAATTTTTATTTATTACCAGTTTTTTTCCGTTGACCTAACTTAGAAAAAAAAACATTTGTTTTATCTCATAGGGCAGGATAAAGGAAACAATATTGATACATAATTGTCATCAGTACCTCAGTAATGAAATTATGTATTTGTTTACCTGTGACCTCACACACTTGCACACAAGTGAGCATGGTAACACAAGAATGGTACAAGCTAATCTTCTGAAATGTTAATCAAATCTACATCAGGGTATCATGTCAGAAATGCATATCTCTGCAGATACAGTTTTGACATATGTCCCTCATTGACACACAACAAGATATTGTTCATAAATTTCAGGAACTTTATGGCTTTAATTCAATCATCAATCTAAGATTGCTACCGGCATGAAAATGCAATTTCAAAACGAATCCAAAGGAATGTTTTTGTTAACATTATTCTATTATTTAAACCTATAACACATAGACAGCAACTATAAACAGTAAACTTTAAATGTAGCTTTGGAGATGCAGAGGACACATCAATGAGCCAGCAACCCATCAACACAGACAACCAAAAGACACATACTGTTTTCTACAAAGGGCAGTTGTCAACTTTTAAATATGTCAAGCTAGCTCTTAAATTTTATGAATGGAAAAAAAATGTGAAAGAAATTATAAACAGAAACTATAAAAGATCAGTTGTCAATACTATAATTTCCAATTTACAATGACAAAACAACTGACAAGGCTATTTGTTCCTTCATCAATGAATTTCTGGGAGAAAAAAAAAAAAAATTAAGAATGGAAATGGAAATGTGTCAAAGAGGCAACAATCCGTCCAAAGAGCAGAATACAGCCCAAGGCCACCAATGGGTCTTCAACACAGTGAGAAAAGCCCGCACCGGGATGCGGGCTTCAACTGGCCCCAAAACACAAAATTGAATACTTATGTAACCTTTTAAAGCCCTAGTCATCTTGTATCAAGCCTGTATTTCGTTTTTTATATTTGGTACCATTTAATCATTTTTGTTTTTATTAATACATTTCATGGTATATATGATCTATTTGTGGCAGATCCTTATCACATCAATTTAGAAATACTTTGTGGTTTAATTTGTGTGCCTTGTGGTTAACCAAATATAACAGTGTTAAAAAAATAAAAATTGATACCAAAATTACTTGTGATGCTCTTGAATGATAACAACATACCATAATAACAACCACAAAACCACAACCTATCACCGTTTTGTAGTTATATACTATTTAATAACACTGACAGCATATATAGTATATACTATTGTATGACACTGACTGTATATAGTAAGTTTTTGAATGAATGAAAGGAGATGGGATCATGGGAGGTTGACAGATAAGGATAACGGATTAGCAAGCAAAAGATTTGCTTAGACCTTCAAAATTCAATTGCATTTAGGTGTGAAAAATTTCCTTTATTTCAATAGTTTTATAGGAGATTTATAATATGTACAGCACTCTGTGTATAAAAGCTTATATTTGACAGTTAAATAGGAATTGAATATAAGTACCTATAATATGACTTTGAACCTAGTACTAAACATGCAGTGGGAAATGATCGTAAATGTTTCTTTTTGCACTAGCACTACTAACAATGATGACTAGACTTAGTATTGCTCTCCTAGATCAATTGGTAAAATTTCTGACTAAATGAACAGTTTGGTTTGATGACAAAAATTGGGTCAGAATTTTTAAAGAATTGCAATAGTTTGAGAGAAACTTTTACAGTCAAGTCACAGTTAATCTTGAAAAACAGGAATAAAAAAAGAACCTAGTTTAAGATTGACCAAGCTAAATCGTGGTAATTTGCCAAGTGTGAAACAAATTGAAATAGATTAATTTTAACAAAGTCATATCATTACATCAAGTTTTATGAACAATAACCTGGTAGATTTAGAGTTGACCATTTGAATGGATGCTTGTCTATCATTGTCTCTTAAGTTGTAGATCATAATTAGTTTCATTGTTTTATTGATGAGATTAACAATTTGCAAAGACATGATAAGAAAACCCCTAAGAAATTTAAAATCAAGTACTATTTTAACTAGGTCGTGTAATAGGATGTTATTTGGTTAGTATGCAAAGACTTTAAATGTACTATCATGTACCTGTTGACTTTGGAATAGTACAAAAAGTAGGGTAGGAACAGCTAGAAAAATACAAATGCTAAGGGAATATGTGATTCTTCAATTTGGAATTCGGGAACATACCAGATTTTTTCTGTATGAGGTAATGCATTCATAAATGAAAATTTCTACTTTTAAGCTAACCCTTTGACACATGGGAATAACCAGAAACTGTTTTCAAAGAGTAAAGGTCATTATTTCATTATATGGGCCTCAGAATTTTCAACCTTTCACTGAAACACACAGTTTTTGTGTCAGTTGGCAAAAAATGTTAATCTAAATTTTGCTAAGTTCTAATGTATGTTGGCTTTGGGTAATAGAGTACAGGTTTAGTTCTTTTAACTCCTCCTATACTTATTGCACTTAGAAACTTTTCATGATGTATTAAAAATAATGCATATTTAAATAATGGTAGCTGTACAAAATTTTCTTAACAGCTAGAACATATTATTCTTAAAAAAAATCATCATTTTATTTATCATTATCAGTACCAGATTCTATAGATCTGTCATAGTTGTTAAAATAGATTTGCAAAATTTTGCATAGTATAAAAACTGAAAAAAAACCTTTCTTGTTTATAGAAGATTTGTTTTTTAAGTAAACTCCATTATTTCCTCATTGAGTTGAACCAAACTATTTTAAAAGTCCAAAAAGAAGGTTATGACTTAAATTAACATTTAAAATCAAATATGTGTTGAATAGGAGTCATTATCAAGTCATTGCATTTTTACCATGATTTCCTTATAATACTGGCACCACTGTACTTATAATGTATCATCCATCTTACTCAGAGACTTTTAGAAATGCTATTACTGAATATATAATCATTGACTGAAGAATATCTTGTGATAAGCCTGCTCAGAAAGGTTAGCATGCTTATGTTAACTTTTGTATCCTGTGGTTAACCAAATATGAGGGTACCGCAAAATCAAAATTGACACCAATTTACTTGTGAAACTGTCACTGTTTAAATCTTTTAAATACATAACAATAAACCACTACAAAAACAATAAAACGTTATTGCACAGGTTTAAAAATATTTAATGATTATATACAAAGTGTGAGCATACTAGATTACTGTACTTTGCAAATATTGATCGGTAAATTCTCTTTACTTTCCGTAGGATATGTCATTTAATAGTATGAATAGCTTATTAAGATCAAATCAAGATATGATCCTTAAGAAATTGAAATGCAATCTGAGATTTGTTGACTTTAATAGGTGTAACTTAAAATATTTAAAAGAAGAAAAAAGATATGTAAATCTTAATATGAAATTTCATTATAGGTTCTTGTCCTTAAAAATGAAACTCCTTTAATGTCACACTGGGAATAGCTGAACTGTTTTGAAGCTACAATAGGCACTTATGTAAAGATTGGAAATCATTCTAAAAATGAAAAGTTCAATTTAATTCCAGGTTGGAGGAAGGTTTAGTTCAACCACATCTGTTTAATGTTGATTCACTAGGTTTATGTTTGTACGAAACAAGGGTGATGTTTCTTAATGATTGTCTTAAGCTTTTAATGTCATTCGTTTTTATTTTTTTTTTTTACATTGGCCTCTGATAACTAACGTCCAATGTTGAAATGTGAAAGGTACTCCTTAAAAATGTTATTTGAATGATATGTTCTTTTATTTAATGCTGGCCTTATATTGATTTATTTTCTTGCCCCTGCCACTAAGTGGCAAGATATATAATGTTCCATCCTACTGTCATTCTGAATTCAAACAATTTCTGAGCTTTTTCGTCATGCCTGAAGATATTGATCTGAATTTTTGGTATATTGGTGTATAACAATTACTTACAGATCAAGTTTGCATTTTATTCGGTATGACCTAGTTTTTAAGGAATTAAAGTACTTGGACATAGAAAACTTAATAAAATATTTAATTATTAAGACTTTTTTGTAGGTGCAGTAGATCTGCAGCTTTCTTTTAGTACATTAGTATATTATGTTAACTAACAGATCAATTTTGCATTTGGTTTTGGTTGACTTACTTTTAAGTCCCTTCATTTTATTTTTGGTAATTACCATTTGCAAACCATACAACTCTTGCTCACGTTATCTTTCCCAGGAATGTACATTAAACAATAAGACTGCAGGAGTTCTGCCAATACATCTAGTTTAAATTTCAATGAAACTACATCTACTTATAGTAATATTTATAGAGCACCGCAGAATTTACCAAAAAACAAAACAATAAACTTATCAGAAACGCATTGATAAAATTAAATATATTTTTATTATATTATCTAGAGATACAGAAAATACCAAGAAGTCAAATAAAAACAGACAACACCATAACCAAAAAAAAAATATGCAAATTAAGACAAACAACAACCACCAGACACCTCACAGGAAACTATATATTGACTAACTTGAACAAGACACATCACAGAAAACTAAATATTGACTAACTTGAACCAAACACCCCACAGGAAACTAAATATATATTGACTAACTTGAACCAGACACCACACAGGAAACAATATATTGACTAACTTGAACAAAACACCTTACATAAAACTAAATATTGACTAACTTGAAACAGACACATCTCAGAAAACTAAATATTGACTAACTTGAACAAGACACATTACAGAAAACTTTATATTGCCTAACTTAAACCAGACACATCACAGAAAACTAAATATTGACTAACTTGAACCAGACACCTCTCAAAAACTAAATATTGACTAACTTGAACCAGAAACATCACAGAATTTTAAATATTGACTAACTTGAACCAGACACATCACATAACTCTAAATGTTGACTAACTTGAACCAGACACCTCTCAAAAAACTAAATGTTGACTAACTTGAACCAGACACATCACAGAACTCTAAATGTTTACTTACTTGAACAAGACACATCACAGAATTATAAATATTGACTATCTTGAACCAGACACATCACAGAATTATAAATATTGATTAACTTGAACCTTAGTTCAAGGGTAAGCAGTTCCTTCTCCACTAGTGGCACTTGTTTTAGAACTCCTTGCAAGCAGACATTAGGTGATAAGTCACATTCGGTGATGTCTAAATCATGGAAAAGAGGCCTAGATTGTGGTTCTGAGAATTGAAACATATCCATGGTCATCTATGACAAATATTCCATAACAATCAACCAAATTAAGATTGCCTCCTTAAAACTTTCAAAGGGATGACTTCAGCTTTACAATTTGGAACCCTTGGTTATATAGCATCTTTGTAAGCAATATGACCCTCTGTTAAGAAAATCATGATAGGGAACAGAAGCTGTGGAATATTAAACTTAAGCATCTTGTTTTTCTGTTGATCCTGTTGTAGATGTATATACAGCTCTTTTGGAAAGGAAAACAATTAAATGATGATAATTATGATTTAAACTTACAGGTATTATGGTAACAATAATTTACAATTGGAAATTGCCTTTTATAGAAATTTAGCCACAACAATCAGGGATCTAAAACACTTTTATTATAAAATGTAATATTACATAAATAAACATGTATATTTACAACAATGCATGTTAGTAAAATGAGGAGTTGATAAATAGGCCATTTTACAGTCAAATAAGACTAAGGTTCACACATATGAGATGGACATAAACTTAATGATATTGATGACGGCAGTATAGTAACATAATACAAAATAATAAGCCATATCAACATTTGTTATTACTAACAAAATGATATTAGATTAAGAACTGATTTTGCTTGTCTTTGAGATTTCACATATATTTTTTCATACAGTCTATCAACTATCTTCAACATCCTACAACCTGAGTATAATTAAACTAGTTTTACCAATATCCACCTCTCTAACCTAGTTCTTATGGCCAGTTCTTCAAAAAAAAGAAGGTGTTTTGTGAAATTTGTTTGATTTAAAACATAAATAATGCGACTTATTAATTACAATTTGTTTGGGATGTCAGTTCCCTAATAATTTCTTGACTTAAAACTTATATGATTTCCACAATATTGTTATATTTTAAATGGGGAATTGGCAAAGCATTGGCTGGTAGTATTAACATCTTGCTCGAGTCCTATGAAAAGTATATTGGCATTGTTATTTTTTAGGAAGTCACAATTATTTTCATGATAAGCGATAGCAAACTTTATAACTAATTCTTGGAAATATTTGAAATCAAGTGTAAAGAAACTTATACTTTCATAGGAAACAAGAATTTTAATTCCTTGACCTAATTTGAGATGTTGTTATAACACTCCTTTTTTTTTCAGTTCAGGTTTTGTAAATTCAATAGATATTTTGATCCCAGCCACATTGTCAAAGGCAAATTTTTTTTTGTCATTTACACACTGTCTTGCCCTTTTCTGCAGGTAATTGCTTGCTCTTTTACTCCATGGAATAATTAGGTCACTGTCACCTAATCTCAACAGATTGCTATAATCATCCAGGTTTGTCAGAAGGATAATTGGTCTTGTGTTCAGTTGACATGTGCAAGGTACCTGGAATTGAAACTTTCGTTTTTTAAAAGTTTCCTTAGAGATCAAATCTTTCCGTATGATACCATCCACTGTCGTTGTGTTACCAGCCATTGACGTGTTTATATTAGCAATCTTCAGAACTGAAAGTAAAATTTAATTAAAATGTTTTCTATAATCAAAATAATTTTAGTTGATATGTTTTATTTAAAAAGCAAAAATGTCTTTTTTACATTCTTTTAAATGTCTATTTGTATTGTTAGTCAAGCTATAAAAATGGTGAGAATATTGGGAATTTAATTTCAAATAGTATTTTTTGTAAAATTTTTAGAAAAAGACATGTTTCTTTAGACATCTTGTTTTGTGGTCCCTTTACAGCATGTCAAATGTTTTCAAGTGTTTTATGTACTGTTACAAATACTTGATATATTTTTGCTTTCGAAGGCAGTATTCAATATTATGATAATAGTTTAAAAATAATTCTGGCATTTTTCTATCAAATCTAGTAATTTGTTTTAAACTTACCAAATTGTTTACATAGATTAGTAGCTGACTCCAGAAATAGTTTGACATTCTCGATGCTGTGTAAATAACAGTAAGAACATATTCCATAGTCTGTATGCCTAGGCAGTGTAGGATGGATCTCATCTATATACTCTATGCTATTTTGATGACAGCTGTTAATATAATGTAAAACATTTAAAAGTCAGTATATAATTTCAGATTATGTTTGACAAAAAGTCTACAATAAAAAACCTGCCAAAACCAAATAAGAATCCAAAATGATTAAATGTATTAAAATATTTGCAGTAAATATACTCAAATCTAGTTTGAAAGAAATTTTATTTGTAAGCAGACTTGAAAGTAAGCTTACCCAAGATGTAAATACTGGGATATAAATAAATGTTATATATAATTAGTTTACTAACATTGCAAACTTTTAAAATTCATATTACATCAGACTGAGTTATAACCAAGTTTATGGATGTTTAACTTTATTATGAGCTGTTGTGAATATCAAAAGCTTTCGCTTTTATTCTTTATATAAAGTATTTACTATTTCCCTGTTTTTATTTGTATTCCACATTTACATTACTTCAACACTCCACAACAAAACATGGATGTTTGCATTCGTCTTTGATATAATATTGTGAGTGTAACTGGAAGCCCCATTAAAATACATTATTTTCTTACCTCTGTTTGTTTGTTTTTAAGTAAATTGTGTTGTCACAACAGATCTTTGTAGTCTTGTTATAACTTTTTATTCCACAGCAATCTCTTCCTTCATCTAACCCCATCTTATCCAAAACTCCTCCACAGCATAGGTCTGAGGTCTCATTATATTGGTCGTTACCGCACATATCAGTTTTATTAATAATACCACCTAGCTGGCATCTATGTGTAATACTTGAATAGGACTGACTTTTCTCAAGGTCAGAAGGAACACAGCATGTGTCATGGTATTCAACAGATTTTGTAATTATTTTAAATGTTTCATGATTGGAGTTGTGTTTTGTGCAGCAAACATCTTCATGGCTGTCATAACTGGCTTTTCCGCAGCATTTGTATTCAGAAGATTTAACAATAATGTCACCTCCTGTTAAAAAAAAATGTTAACTATAAAAAAAGCCCATTTGCATGCCTAATATTTAAATTATGTATTCCTTATATGGAAAACTGCACAGAAATAATCCATTTTAGGAAGCTTGAGATTATGTTTTGTTAAGTTGATGAGTTACTTGTTAGTTTTCAAACCTTCAAAGAGGGAGATGGTAAACAATATGTCCGGGTGGTTATGGGCAATGAAACTTGGGTGGATGGCATGAATATTTTAAAACTACAATTATATCCTAATTGAAGTAAAATGAAGTTGCATAGCTGTGATAAGAATTAGTGAAAAAGTTATATATCATAGGAACAACAACTTTATAATTAAAAAATAATAAGAATAGTAACTCCTCAAATTGTGTGACAGTTTTCAACCATCCACACTGTACTGCATAAGAATAAGAGAAGAACTCAACACAGTAATCTGCTTGCATGCAATACGTAATCTATTAAAAATAAATTATTTTTTGTGGGCTTCAATTTCTTAATACTTCACCACGTAAAGTTTGTCATGACTAAGTTTTAATTGGAGTGAAACAAATGTGTAATAGATGATGTAGCCACACAAACTACTGGTCTTAATCAGTAATGATGTTATACTCTTTTAATAACCATATAAGTAATGAATTTTCAAATTCTATATCAGTGTGATTTTTGTCGTGCTTAATCAGTTACTTACCAGGTTTACAACACTGGTGAGAGGATGTGTTGTATATTACAATCCCACAACATGATTGGTATTGACTGTCATACAATCCATTCCCACAACAGTCCTCTGTTGATGATGTTATGTTGATAGGGAGCCCATTGCAACACTTCTGACTACTTGGATGGTAATGGCCTACATCAAAAAGATGTTTATGTAGAATAAATTGAATGCAGTTGTCGAAATTGTACATTCCGACCCTTAATTTTCAAAAGTTGAGTAAAAAATTTCAGAGGTCATCCCTACAAGTTGTCTGTTAAATGATAATGTGTTTGCTTTCCAACCTTTATATTCATCCTCCAACAAGTTCTGAGTGAAATATTAATCAAGAAATGTGTGAAAGAGATTACATTTTTAAGAAAGGAAATTATTGAATTTTCACAGATGTTGATATAAGTCTACAGTATCACTGTAGCCTATCAACACTGAGGTTGTGAGTTAGAACCCTGCATGTGGCAGGTGAGTTGAACTCTGATGTTAATTGACTAGGATTGCCAGTTTGTCTGCCAAAGGTAGATGATTTTCTCTGGTCACTTTGGCTTCCTCCATCAATAAAATTTGGCTGCACATGATAGCCAAGAGTGCTGAGCATGGGGTTAAACACTAACAATCCAAACATAGATGTTTGTACATTCATCCCAGGGTTTTCAACATACAGGAATCAGTCTACTTTTTTATAGCTATCTCGGCATACAAATCTTAAATACAATAAATAGAAAATAGAAAAAAAATACCTTTTTCACAGCACTCAGTATCATGTGGTATGGTAAAACTTCCATCACAACATTTTTCATGAACTGTATTATACAACTTTGTGCCGCAACATTTATAATGCTCATCACTATCACTGACATTATGTAACGTTGTGGAGCAACATTTCTGTTTCCTAATGTCATACTCGGTGTTGTTACATAAGGATTTAAATAAGGGTAGGACAATTCCTTCCTTACTGGGTTTACAGTAATGTGTTGTTTTGTTGTAATATTCAACCCCACAACATTTCTTGCGAGTTCCTATGCTGTGTGACTTTTTATAACCATTTCTATCCCTACAGCAAGTTGTTGTTTTTGGGTCAATAGGTGTTGAACCACAGCAACTATTGATACCTGGATATAGAAATAAAATAAAAATACTATAAAGACTCATTGGAATTGGTTGCACTATGATGAAAGAAATAAACCACCATATTAATTTCTTTGATGGACTGAAAAAATTGAATAAGTTTTATCTTTAATAGAAATAAATAGATTGATCTTTTAACAAGGGCATCAATATCTGTAAAAAAAAAAAAGATCTCCTGAAAACCCATCCATTGTGAATTTTTTCTAAGACTACTAAAATGTTTAAAATTTAATCACCTAATTTGAATAATCTTTAATTTAATTAAATTTTTTCATAAGGTCATTTTAAGGTTAACACTAAAAAGTAAAGTAACAAAAATACAGTCCCTTATCAAATGGCAAAATCAAAAGCTCAAACACATCAAACGAATGGAAAACAACTGTCATATTCTTGACTTGGTACAGGCATTTCCTTATGTAGAAAATGGTGGATTAAACCTGGTTTTAAAGCTAGCTAAACCTCTCACTTGTATGACAGTCACATAAAATTCCATTATATTGACAATGATGTGTGAACAAAACAAAAAGACATAATAGGTAAAAATGTCAAAAATAGGGGTACAGCAGTCAACATCGTGTTATAATCTTAATCTAAGTTACCATATTACCATTAATTTTGTCATGCAAGATGTTATTGCAGCAGACTTTTTCTGACTTTTGGTAAGGGATAGCTCCACAACAGCTTAATTCTTTACCATCTTCTGCAAGCTTTATGAACACATCCTTTTTACAACATATCTCAGTGTCAACAATAAATCTTTTTTCTAAAGATAAAAAATAAAGTATGGATTCGATATTATTTAATTTATAAATCTTGTCTCAGCCAGTGGGTTCAATGTGTGTTTTTTGTTGTTTTTATTCAATGATTAAGGTTGTTACATTAATTGTAATATAAATAGTGTCTATACCAAGTCAGGCAATATGTACCATGTGTTATTTTGTATTATAGTAGTCTATTTTCTTGGAGGAAACTTGGTAGATCGTGTGATCCTTTTTTATGTATATGTGACAATAAGAAACCTAAACAAAACTGAACAACATTCTTCATAGAAGTTTTAAGTTGATTGAATTAGATATCATTCTTATTAAAAGCTGACATAGCTTCTGAAAATGAGATTCAATAGAACTAAATTTTAAAACATGAAAGTTTCCAGTCTGAAAAGACACGCATAGAATGTTGGTACCAGTGCCAAAACATATTATTCTTATGGATTGGCTGTCCTCACTATTTTCCCTTTCCTTATTGAAAGTTTTGTGGATTAGATGTTTATATGATACACAATGTGTATAATATTTTTTTTCAGACATGCTGAATCATAAAAATATTTGTTTTGTTTACATGCAAATTGTCACAATAATATTGTAGGAGACCTTGAACTATTCAAAAAATTGTACTGTCATCATCTTCCTGTTTACATAACAGGATACTTATATAATGACAAATATCCAATCAGTTTCAGAAGTAAAATCCCTATGAAACTTACCACTACAGCAATCTAACTCCTGTCCATGTTCATTGAATTTGGATGTTACTCCAAAATCACAGCACAGTTGTGTTTCTGAGTCATATTCTTCCCATGAAGACATGCATCTTTCTGCTGCAACTTCTACAATCACTAATGTTAACACTGAAATGTAAAATAAAACATCAAGGTTAGCACAGGAAGTTTGATTTATTTTTATTGTCGAGCCTTCGACTTTAGTCGAAAAAGCGAGACATAGCGATCCTACATTCCGTCGGCGTCGTCGTCGTCGGCGTCCACAAATATTCACTCTGTGGTTAAAGTTTTTGAAATTTTAATAACTTTCTTAAACTATCCTGGATTTCTACCAAACTTGGACAGAAGCTTGTTTATGATCAAAAGCTAGTATCTAGAAGGAAATTTTGTTAAAATTTGTACCTGTTTATCCGTATTTTACTTATAAATAGACTTAGTTTTTCTTCCAGTTAACATTAAATACAGTCTGCAGTTAAAGTTTTTAAAACATTTATTAGATTCATAAACTATCCTGGATTCATACAAAACTTTGACAGAAGCTTCTTACAATCAAAAGATAGTATCTAAAGGAATATTTTTATTGATTTTTTTCCTCATTTTTGTTGAGCTTGTGATTAACAGCAAAAGTAGGCGAGACACTGGGTTCAGGTGTAATACCACCAAATCATAGTACGTCACATCCGGTTGCATACGAAAATAGGTCGAAAAAAAATATTCCCTTGAATTTGACAGTTGTAGGTAATTGATCCTACATTTCATTGCAGTAAAACATTTCTGGGTCATAAACATATATCTTGGGTATTTCAAAGCACCATTATTTTTTTATTTGGGGTTTCTATAGAATATTTTGGAAACTTGAGGTTACATGGTTACTAAAGCTTGTATACAGGTTAAAAAAGGGGGAAAATTTGATTGGTTAACTTCCAGTGATGGTTATTTTCTTATATGCAATGAAATGTTATGTGAAATTTTTTCTATAGTACTGGACAGGATCAAACTTTACTCATGCCAAGTATTTCTTTATTTGAAACAAAGATAAATTCTGCACAATTTTTTGAAAAGTGCAAATTTAACAAAGACTAATAGGGGAAAATCAATGGTGGTATTACACCTAATATAGGAAGCTGTACATGCACCTTTGACCTTGTGAGTACTCTCATGTGTTAAAATTTCTTGCTATTTAAGTGAAATATTACTAATAATGAAATATTCTGAGTGGATTGAGTCTCCAAAACACATTTTATGAGAAAATTTCCTTGAAATAGGACTTTACCATGAATATTAGTTGACAGAATAAGCCATACTTAGAGTTTTGGGGAGCTTTTTCTCCTTTTTTCTTATATTCTGCTATACTAGAAAATTTTTCCTAAGAAATACTTTAATAAATATATAGTTTTAAGTAAATGAAATTATTTTTAAAGCAGTAACAACAAATTATTCACCAAAAGCGAAGCTTTTTATGTCCCTCTCTAGAACGCGGCGTAAATTTAAGTTTTACGTAAGGACTTATTGAAACCTCCTTGGAGACTGTAAACTTTTATACGGATAGTTCATTCAGCTTGAATACTTCAATTAATCATTTATTATAACATTTCTATCATAAATGAGTGAAAGTTACCCCAAATTTTTTATTTATTGGCCTATAAAGTAGAAATTTTGAGGAAATGAGAGGTATAAATGGACCAAAAGAGACCTTATAAGGAAGACAAAGAGGTCCATTGGTAGTATTTATCATTCTAAAGTCATCTTTTGTATCATATTCAACTGTTTGTAGGCAGATGAGATAAATATTTGATCATTTATTGGTCCACACTATATTCTATCATGATGCGGCTTGGTTTGGATTTTTCGAAGAAATTTAGCTCGAATCGCTGCAGATGTCGTCTTACATTATACTAGATTTTTCTCAAACTATTGAACTGATTATGACAAAACTTGACAGGCATGCTTGAAATAACCAGTATAACAAAGGAAAAAAGTCACATTCAGTTTATTTAACAAAAAAGTCTTCTTTAGGTGTAATACCACCAAATCATAGTACGTCACATCCGGTTGCATACGAAAATAGGTCGAAAAAAAATATTCCCTTGAATTTGACAGTTGTAGGTAATTGATCCTACATTTCATTGCAGTAAAACATTTCTGGGTCATAAACATATATCTTGGGTATTTCAAAGCACCATTATTTTTTTATTTGGGGTTTCTATAGAATATTTTGGAAACTTGAGGTTACATGGTTACTAAAGCTTGTATACAGGTTAAAAAAGGGGGAAAATTTGATTGGTTAACTTCCAGTGATGGTTATTTTCTTATATGCAATGAAATGTTATGTGAAATTTTTTCTATAGTACTGGACAGGATCAAACTTTACTCATGCCAAGTATTTCTTTATTTGAAACAAAGATAAATTCTGCACAATTTTTTGAAAAGTGCAAATTTAACAAAGATTAATAGGGGAAAATCAATGGTGGTATTACACCTTCAGCGGAACCCTTACGAATTGTCTATTCGATCAAGCTAACGCACTATATATAGAAAGCCTTTCAGTCTGTCTAATATAAAAACAAAAAGATGCGGTATGAATGTCTATGAGAAGACTCTCCACAAGAGACCAAATGACCAGAATTTTACAACTATAGGTCTTTGTAGGGCCTTCAAAGCAAAGTCAGCTATAAAAGGCCCTGAATGTAAAAGAATTCAAACGAGAATACTTGTATAATACAAAGAACTAAAAAACAAATATGATATACAGCAACAAATGACAACCTCTGAATTACAGGCTCCTGACTTACGACAGGTACATACAGAATGTGGCAGGTTAATAGTATATGATCGTCTATTATTCTTTCTATTGTTCACATGTATGTCTGCTTTCTTCGATTTAAATCTATTTTAAAGAAGTGGTGAAGGTTTTAACATAATTTGACTTGTTCCTTTCTTCAACAACCAGACAATGAGCTAGATTCCATTTTATCAGAAGTGTTTGACTTGAAATCTCCCTCCGTTAAAGTTTGATTTGTTCAGCTTTATTTTATAGTATATAAGTTTACTTGTTTATATCATTTATAAAAGTCTTTTACTGTATACTGTAACTTTCAACCCTTTTGAATATAAATTAAAGGAGATGTGGTGGACATATCATTTAGGTAGCAACCCAATGACCCTAACTCCCAATTAAAAAAGGGAAAAAAAAATAGGAATTAAAATTAAAATAAAAAAAATACATCACATTACTGTGGACTTATTTGATTCGATGTGCAAGTTTTTTTTTTGTTAAATTGTCTGTCAGTTTTGTTTCAAGTTGAAGTTATAAAGAAACCCACAAAAATAAAGAAATGAAAATTAATTCCAAGGAACACAAAATTTATATTTTTAGAAAGAAAATACAAAGGAATCCAATATGTATATGAACATTACTTAATGAGACTTAATGAGACAGCAACCCAACAACAAAATTCTAAATTGCCCCAAGTATAACAAGTTCTGATTGATTAACTTTTGTATGGAAACCTCAAAATTAACCTGAATCAACATCAGTAGTGTGGAACTTCAAAAGTTTCCCAGACAATTTGACACCCTGTAGTCCAGTGTTTAACAATTTATAAGAATGTTGACCTTATTTTCATTTGTTGTGTTGTTTACTTGCTGTCATATATAAGTATATCTAACATCTAATTTCATTCATATTAATCAAATGTTTTGGTAAAATACTGAAGACATTATACATTGACACTCATTCACGAATAAACAACTTTTGACAAGTTAACTCTGCTGGAGAGGCCCTTTATTTATTTATGTATGAAGGAAATATTCATTTCAATTCAATTTAAAGTTAATCTGATACACCAATACATGTATTAGATAAAATATTGACTTATATTTAGGAAACATGCCCTTCACATAAATAAGTTTCTGATAATTTTAAAGATATAAACAATTGTTCATAAAATTAAATAAGAAAAATGAAAAAAAATAATTTCTAAATAAGATATTAAAAAATATAGGACATCTCTACTACGAGTGTATGAGTGTAGGTAATATTATCTGATCAGAACTTATAGTTTATGACAGATTTATATCGCTCCTTACCCAGCAGTAGACAATAGATATTCATTTTGATGTTGATCGTGTTGATCTACTAGATTAACTGTTTTCCTTAGAACATAGAAGTTGAAAATATTAATTTTATTCAGGGTATACCTATTATTTAAAATGAATCTGAAAATCCCTAATTCTAGAAAACAAAAATTTTCAGAGGTTTACAGTGTTTATAAAAAATTTCTGGTTTTAAATTGAATTTATAAAATTGGGCAATTAGAGTGTGAGAACTAATTATAGGATCATTTTTTTCCATCTTGAAAAAGTTATCCCTTTGTTTTAAATTGACTACAATATACTCTGAATATTAATTATAGCTATAAAAAGTACTGATATAAAATTATATTTGTGATACCTAGGTATATATTTACATACTATACATTTCAAATAGCCTATTAATGTTTATGAAAATTAAAAAAAACGGGTGTATTTTGAATGAAACAAACGTAATTTCAATGAAAACTACAATCTTGTATTGATCATATTGAATTGTACCATATAAGGCAATTATAATAAGTCAAGCTTTTTTTTGGTAATTTTCGAAAAGAATTATCTAAGTTAACAGGATAAGATTAAAGAGTATGAATGTCCTGTTATATCATGTTAGACTTATATGATTTATAATGTATAAAAACGGTATTAATTACTTACTTTACAAGGGTAACTTTTGAATAAAGAACTACCCATATCTTGGATGTACTACTATTTTAGTGTCATTTCACAGCGGTATAACGTGTTACTTTTATTATTCTTCCCTTAGTTTATTTATTTTGTATTTACATTGTATCATAGATCAAATTTATTTGTTCAGTGTATGTTCACTGGTGTTTATATGTCTTTTGATTGAGTTAAGCCATTTCAATTGATATTTTATAGTGTGTCTTTCTATGTTGTGATGTTACACTATTGTTTCAGATAAGGGTGAAGGTTGGGTACCATTAAAACGTTTAAACCGCTGCAATTGTTTGCAAGTCAGGAATCTGATGTTCAGTAGTTGTCGTTTGTTGATGTGGTTCATAAGTGTTTCTCGT